GCAGTTTTAGAGCTATCACCACATGCATTTCCAGGCCAGATCACCAAACATTAGAACCACTGAGATTTGTCAGAGAGGCCAAATGGAAGAACTTCCTTAATGCATAATTCAGAGATTCATTCCTGATAAATCCATTTCCAAATCCTGCAGGATGCAAGTTAACTCTGGAACTTTCTAAGGGTTGCAAAATATTCCTGGGACACCTGAGGGGATTCAGGCTGAATTAGAACCTCTGGTCCCATTAATTAGTGGGTTTCAACCTTACCTGCCCAGGAGAATCCCCAGAGAGCTTCAACAAACATTGACACCTCATTCCTTCTCACCTTCTAAGATTCAGATTTTACTGAGCTGTGGTTTTCTCAGTAATCTAATGTGATCCCCTTAGTCCAGTGGTTCTCAGCTTTGGCAACATGTCACGATTACCTGGCAAGCTTTTAAAATTCTGATGCCCAGGCGGCACCCCAAATCAATTTAATAAGAATCATTGTGGGTGGGCACTGGCATTAGCATTTTTCAAAAATTCCCCAGCTGCTCACAAATATTTAGCTGAGGCTGATAAGTAGAAAAATCTAGAAAAGAAAACCCTTCCTTATTTCTAAAGCCTGGCTTCTTGCATTCTCTCCAGTTTACTTGCATTTCTGATTGCTCTAAAGCTATATAGGCTGAAGAGTTGTGCTACAGCTGAGTAACAAGGGCAAATACATGTTCAGATGCTCTAGGTTGATATAGAAATGAAAATGATAGTTCAAAACTGAACTAACAAGGAAAATGGGAACAGACTCATAGATGGAGAACAGGGAGATTGCTGGGAGCAGGGGTCAGGGGGTGGAGGGACTGAGCAAAAAGGAGAAAGGACTCAAGGGCATAGACAACAGTGTGGTGACTGCTGGGGGGAGAGGGTAGAAGAGGATTAAATGGTAATGGAAAAAATACAATAAAGATTAAATCAAATAGGAAAGTGATTGTTCAGGTGAGAATTTGCAAAATAAGTAAGAAATGTACCTGAGGCAATAAATTATTAGCACTTTATAAGTGCCAGGAACTTGCATTCGCCAAAAAAAAAAAAGAGGAAGCCTATCCAATGAAAGATAATTTTTAATATTAGACTTTTCAAAAAATAGCTAATATTTTCAAATCTGTTCCACAGAAATTTGCCCATCTTCTCTAATTTAAAGGCTTGACAACTTACTTAAGGAAAGGCAGGTCATCAGTTCTACAGGATTCCACTTTGTCAGGAATTCTAGGATTTTGGTTCAACTCTATAGATATGTTCCTCATTATCTGTTTTTTAAAGGTGGGGTTGCCCTGGTTTTCTTATTTTTTATTTTGACAATGTGAATTATTGTTCTTTTAGTTAACTTGCTGAGAACTATTTAGAACATAAGCAAGTTTACCATATTTAGAGGTGATGTGTATATTTGGTCGCTACTAGCAGAGATTATTGTTGATTAGGAGCTTATCCAAAGAATTGTTGACAATTGAGTTGCTGAAAATTTTGTAGCCAAAGTCAAATTTAACAACACTGTGTTTATTTGTTTTTTGCCAATTGCTAGGCCATATCCCGTCACAGTCTAACAATCCAAAAGAGAATATTGCCAAATTATTGGCCAGTTCTCAGAATGGCTAACCCTTTTTTTGCTATGGAACTTAGCAGTGCTTAACTATAACAAGTAAGGCATACTTTCTTTTTTTGAAATGGTGGTTTATGACAATTAAGAATTTTTCCTTAAAAGGGATGGCTGATATTGACCATTGTTGGGAAGAGCAAAACTTTTTAGTAATTGGAAGCCAAAAGCAAGAAAAGCATCCTGAGAGACTGAGCTCTCTGATCCACATCTGTCTCTTGGGGTGGTTGTGGGTTGCCCAGTGCACTGCTGCCACCTCTCACTCGGCACCTTAATCCCCAGCTTAAACAGCAGTGTTATTTCTGTCAGGTGTGGAGTGATTGTTTCTGTCTGCCGATGGGTTGCCTGGTCCAACAATTATCTGAATTCAGCCTCTGGCCTTGTCTCCAAGGGGAGAATTCTTTCTGACAACAACAGTGGAAGTACTGACCATCCATTGCCAGTCCCTTTACAATGTTATTAATGCTCTCTTTCTGCAGAGAACATGATATGTATTTCATTTTTGAGGGACATTGTACGCTTTTATTACCCTTTTATTAGTTCACGTTAGATTCTAGTTTTATCACTGAGAAACCTACTGTTAGACTAACTGTGAAGCCGCCCCAGAGGACAAGTTGAAAGGAGAGACTTTCTTGCCTCTTGGGCAATAATAGCATGCAAGTCTCAGGACCAGTTTTCCAGTAACAGCTTTTCTCCCCTGAAGAGTCAGAAATGTAGTCCAGTGTCTCTTGGCCACTCTCATGGGTTCCTACATTTACATAGCTGGGCCTTGCTTATATGTCTACCAATACAAGTCTTATTTCTGTTGGATTCCTTGGTATGCTTATTCTGCTATTTCATTCTAATATAAATTTAAAATATTTCACAACACTATAATTAAGATAAGACTAAAGTGAAATTTTCACAAGCCAGGGTAGCTAAGTAATTTTTTGAATTTTTTATTGATTTTTTTTTTGAGAGAGAGGAACATCAATTTTGTTGTTCCATTTATTTACACATTCACTGGTTGATTCTTGTAAGTGCCCTGACCAGGGATCAAACCAGCAACAACCTTGGTGTATAAGGATGACGCTCTTACCAACTGAGCTACCTGGCCAGGGCAGTAATTTTTTAAATTATCTAATGATGCGAGACATGAGGTATCATACTCACCTCCCTACCAATCCATTCCTCTTCCTGCAGCTTTTCCATCTACCTACCCCAGCCCAACAGCTTCTGAAAGCAGAAGTATATGCCCAGATTTTCTACTGCCCCTACTCATTCCAATCCATTGTCTTAACAATATCTTAAAACTACATTCATTTGAGGAGCTATGCTTATTACTGGTGAAATAAGCAGTCCTTCAAGACCTGTTCATTTCCCGACGTCACTTCTTTCCTTTATTTTTTTTTTCTTTCTTACTGTAGAATTAGTGTTAGAGGAGAAATGGCTTACCAATTGGCTTTATGGTTAAACAAGGTTCATGGTGAATTTTATTTCAAACTACAGAATAACTTTAGCATTTTGTGTATGTGTACAAATGCCTATGTTTTGTGGTTTTAAGAAATTCAAACACAAATAGAACTTATATATGTGAATGCATTCCAGGTGTAGATATTTTTGATCCCACGTAATTATACATGTTTTTCACTTTTACTGGACTTAACATCTAATTTTTTCACATTTTTATTATGTGAAAAAAGCATTCAAAAGAACTTAGGATATAGAAGAATTCTACAATGTTTGGGTTCGATAACATTATTACTACAATTTTAAATTAGTTCTGAGAGTTCATCCTTATCATTGAGATAATACCACTTTCATCTCATTCAGTGTGTATGATAATTAAGAGTACTTAGATTTTCCACATTTATGTTACATAATTTCTGTGGTTTAGAATAGGCTGTATGGACTAGAAAATATATTGGAAATCATCTGTACCTATCCCACACCTTACAGATGAAAAATTGAGAATCAGAAAAGGTAAAAAATCGTTCCAATATCATTCACAGGCAGGAACTGGACATACATGTTATAATTTCCACCTGGACTCTGTCCATGATAAATCTCAATAACTTAAATGAATTGATTATAAGCCAAATTCTGTTGCCGCATAAAAGTGACCAACCACAAAACTTGATTCCGAATAGTTATTTCCTTAGCTAAACTTCATCATAATCAGAAAAATATTCTAAGAATCACATAACTTTATTAACAACAGAAATTATAAAACCATAACTGTTAACAATCTACTAAAATATCCTTAACATTCTATATTAATTAGAGTTAAATTAATAGCTAAGAATCTTGAAAGTCATTCACTAAAACAAGTAACAAAAGTTTTAAATATTGACTAGGCAAGCCTGGCACTGTCCTGGACAAAGGTTTGCACTATCATCTCCATGCACTCCTTTTCAATTGACTTGAACACAGTATTATAAGATGATATAATAACATTGTTCAAGTACTAGTAATACAAACAAAACTTAGGAATTTGAAAATTCAAGTGTATCTGTTGAGGTATATATTTTACCCCATTAAATGTAATACTGTTGAAATTGGCTACCAATCATAACTGCTAAATGATAAATCCAACCCTGATATTACAACATGGAAAGAATCTTTTTCAACTCACTTTTATTTCTTCCTTCACATTTACCTTTCTCTTAAGGTGACATAGAACTATGGCATAGAAGATTTACATAAATAAAATGTTAAGAGGAACCTATTCTTCTGCCCTGGTAAATAACTAAGCAGTCTAATGCAGCCTCACTATGACATGAACAATGAGGAGGCAACAGATGCCCTTCTGTTTTATAACTACACACAATTGCACAAGTCACTGAATCCATTTTTGAGCACAGATTACTTTTACATCACAGAAATAGTCTTTCAAAGAAAATTATTTTGAAAAAATTATTTTTCAAAGAGAATCAAATTGTTAAAAATAAATTCTCTGTTTCTCAAATTAATAAGTAGTTTTTCATGACAATTTACTGTGTACTCTATTAGAATTCTTAATGAGTTTTCCTAGCAGACAATAAATCCTATTTCATTGTGAAGAATGTCATTTATGTTTTGCCTAACCTATGAGCATTTTGAACTTAGGACATAGAGAGTATATTTTCAAATTAGCTTGGTTATCAATTCTGATTATAATGTTAGTAAGTGTGCCCTGTTCCAGGAGAACATACAGAGTAGTATATACTGTGGAGGTACATTTAAAACAGTTTTTAGGAACATAGTTCAACTATCCAAATTCAGAGAAATTAGAAGATGATATTTAATTTTTTTCAAAAGATAAAAATGAAAAAAAAAGCATGTTACTTGGAAATTGATCTTTTCACAGATTGTGATGGTTCATTAGTAGTGCTGTATACAAAAGACATTACTTACTGTAATTGTTCTTCATTTCTTGGGTCCCTTTGACTTTGCCTCGTTTATCAATTCTCAGATACCACTGTGTTCGACAGAAGAGTCTTCTCACTCTTATATCCCCTCCTTCCATGTAATCATAACTTCTTGTGTGTCGCTCAGGGCTGGAACAGTTCACATTTGTAGCCATTTGCTCTGAAGTCATGTCATTGCAAGCTAAAGATATAGTGCCCACTAGACAGATAATGTGAAAGCATGAACTGTAGAGCAAAGTTGGCAGGATCCATGTCAGTATCCATTTGCGCATTATAGTGTAGTGCTCCGAGTGTTCATGAATAACATAATGAAAATTAAATCTTGAGTTGATTGTTGCTCCTAGGTCATTGACCTCTTCCTATCTGTGAACTGTAGATTGATTTAAGAAAGAGTAGCTGCTCTTTCCAAATTGTTAGCCTTATCCTTTTAGTTCCTGATAACAACAATACAGGATTCCTCCTTTCCTCTGCTGGTATATCCTTATAAAAGCAGGTTGTAGTAAGCTCAGTTGCTGTGACGCTGTTTGCTACTTGACTTCTGTTTGCAAAGAGAGATTAAGAATAGGGACAGGAGGAGAAAGGAAGATGAAAAATGGTATGTTTAACTTTCAGTGGGTAAAGAGTATTATAGCACACAGTGCAGTGTGTACTGTGAAGTTACATTTAAAACAGTTTTCACAGGATTTCAACATCTTTACTACTCTATATTTAGATTTATAAAGGTTATGCATTGATATAGAAAAATCAGAATATGATTGTGCCATTCATTCCAGTTGTTATTTGATAAGAAACATCCTGCAATTAGAGCTATTGGTTTAAATTAAGTTCTAAAATTGCTATTAACAGAGTAAAAATGCTTTCCCTAGATTTCTTTCTTATATGCTGTTACATTTGTGTTTAATCAATTATTTTCTCCTGAACTGCCCACATTTCACAAGTTAAATGTCAGGATTGCTCTGGAGAACTTCAACCTTATCTTTATGTAAGTTCTACAGCGAAATTACTATAGATAATTACATGGCTCAAATATCTGGTAACTTTACTTTTCCCTTCAGTATTAAACCCAGAGAAAAAGATAAACTACTAGAAAACATTCAGCATTATTTTTAAAGACAAATAACAGTAACTTACTTGTTCTGTTGATAACAGCTGGATACACAAGAATTCCATGTCTGTTGTCTGCCTTGTGCAACTTGAGCCTCTCTACTGTAGCTACAAACTACTTCTCAGCTGAGAAATTCTCCAGCAGAATCATAATTGTTTCCATAAATCAACAGGCAAGAGGATTTTTCTCTGTGTGTGTGAGTGCGTGTATGCTTGTGTGTATGTGTGTGGAGCCTTTTATTCAGGGCTTTTCGATAAATACCTTTGCTGACCTCATTGGAAGCAATTAAAACTTAACCAGTGAGCTGTTAGTTGAATACAACAGCGAGAATAAAGGAGACTTGTATAGTATTCATTCAATGGTCATGAGAGGGAGCTATGAACATGGTTTATGCTTAAATCTACAAGTGGGTATCTCCCTCGTAGAAACAGCTCTGTGATTCTGAAGCAGTTAGAAGGGAAAGGGGAAATTTTTAGACTGTCTTTACAACATAGCAGTTGTATATAAGTTGAAAAATACTCCTTTGAAGATATATAAAAGGGACTTTTTAATAGTTAGAGCATCTTTTCATAGCTTTATGATGCATGCATTTCTACTACTCCCTTGTGCCCCAAATGTTAGAATAAAACTACAAGTCTGTATTCATTCACATCTTACTGTCCTAAGGCACAGTGTAGCTGAGTCAAGAGTATATCCCTTCATACAGAAATATTTCCCCATTGTGTATCCATATCATTTTTACATCTTATATTTCTAGACTGAAAATAAGAAGACCTGGATTCTTATTTGAATCAGGCCACTAATTACCAATATGATCTTGGGCATGTCACTTAACATTCCTGTCTCAGCAGCTACATTTGTAAAATTAGTGTATTAGTCTAAATTATTGAACGGTGTCTTATATTTTTACAATTCTGTGACTTGTAGCTTTAACTACTGATAGATATAAGGAAAAGGATACACACTTTTAAAAATTGTTCTTAATTAAAAAGTAAAGAAAATGATTTTACATTGATTACCAGTATTTGACTCTTGCCTCAAAAATAACATTAACATAATAAATAAATGTTAACTTGTGGATGGAATTATAAGAGCTATAGCTAATGTAAATAAGAAAGCTATTTTACTTTCCAACATGAGTTGTTCTCTCCTTTACTTCTGGTTCTAGCACGTATATAGTTTTCTAGTGGTTTATTACATATTTGTTGCAGAATAATTGCATTGTTAATCTAAATCAATATTTAGGAATGTATATCAAAATTCTTTTTCCCATGTTAATATCCCTAAAACATGCGCTCACCCCCACCCCACACACATACATACACATGCGTGCGTGCACTCTGCACTTGAAAATGCACTACATTACCACCAGGTGGTGCATGTAGACCAAATAGGACAAGGAATTTGGATTATAGTTTGTGTGATTTCCCCTTTGTGTCTATGCTTTTGGAAAACAGAATCAAGAGCAAAGAATAATTTAAATGTACCCATGTGCTGTATAAGCACCAGATATTGAAATTAAGTTAACCAAGGCAGAGGAGTTTGGGCCCTTCTATAATTGCATCTGTTGAAAGCTAGATGGCTGCAAAAATATTCTGTCATATGTTTCTCTAAAGGAGAGAAAAGAAGGAAAGAAAGTGCGATGCCACAGTGTTATGAATCATACCCTCATCAGTTTTGTAGGCAACAATAATGAGCAGGATCAGAATTCCCAGAACTTGGATATTCCCTCTAATGAAATGAAAATTATCAGTTCACATGGAAAGGTATTCAAGAGCTACTAAAATTGTCTGTTCTACACACTGACCCTACATATTTTAAATTAAAAAACCAACAGGTAAGAAGTCAAAATTTTCTAATTAAACACTTAAGACTTAAATAAAAGAAATGGATAGTTTGTTGATAGAGTAAAGAGTGCTTGGTGCCTCCTGAAAATCTGCGATACAGGGTGATTATAAATTTGGAAACAATCTAAGTATTGCACTAAGTAATGCACTTCAGTTCATGAGCTGCCATCATACTCTGTGATATGAAAATATGACCCCAGTAATATTAATGAATGAATTCACCTCAACAAGGGAACTATATTTAAATAATTTATCATTTGACTCTCAGTTTACTTCATGGAGAATAATAAATTGAAGAAGGGCCCACAACCTGTCTCACTCACACCACTGCCGCAGTGAAGAAACTCATTGATGCCCTTATTATACTTTTACTTCAAGAGGGATCCCCCAGAAACCAAGAGTAACCTACATATTTCTAGATGGGGTAACTCTCTGTGTTTTTTTTAAATTCTTAGTAGCAATATAATGTTGACAAGAATTTACTGCCCTTGTTTTAATGTACACATAGTGATAGGCTAAATACAAAAATGCTTTGAAGAAATGTCTCTTTTGTTGTTTCCATATTGAGTAAACTTCATTTTTCATTGGAAACATTTCTATCTCTTGAGCATCTATTATTAAAAATTGACTTTTAAAATAATAACCTTACAAAATAAAGATTAGCACCTGGGATTCTTCCAAAGGAAACAGTGCCTAATATTTGTCTAGTTTGATTTGGGGGTAGAATATGTAAAAAGAAGATAAGAATCTACTTCAGTGAATATAATGAAAACATGAGCAGTTGTTAAGGTAATAATCAACCACCTAATTCTGCTTAAGCAACCTCTGTTATATCCCTATTTCACAAAGAGGTAAATTATAGAAAATTGTTTTGTTCAATTAATTTGGCATTTCAATAATGAATTTTAAGTTTATGCCACATTCATAAATATGTATAATATAATCAATAGAAAACATCGAGTATTTTCATTACTTTTATTCTTACATCCTATCCTATTCCTCATCCTCCTATTTCGCATCCTTTCCCCAAAATATAGGGAATCATTGTTAGTTTCTTGAGTATCTTTCCAGTTTCCTATGCAAATACAGGCAAATTAAATATATTTGTAAGCGTGTATTTCTCTTTACTTTTTCTCTTTTTATAAAAACAGTAGCATACCATACACAATGTTCTGCATTTTGCATTTTTTACTTAGTAAAAATAGAAAATCTTCCCATCTTAGTATACAAGAAATTTCTTCATTTTTTGACAGCTGCATAGTACTCCATTGAATGGGTATATATCATGGTGTATTTTACTAGCCTACAATTGATGAACATCTCATTTTTTTCCCAGTCTTTTTTCTGTTAGAAAAAGAAATAGATGCTGCAAAGACAAAAGCTATAAATGTGTCATTTTTTTACTGTGAAAATATGTCTGTAGAATTCATTTCCAGAATTTCTCCAGGTCAAATGGTATATATATTTATTATTTAGATAGATATTGCCAACCTACCCCACTAGCAGTACATCATAGTGCCTGGTTTACAATCCCACTAGCAGTACATAACAGTACCTGTTTACTCAAAATAGTGTATTGTCAAACTTTGGGGATTTTGCTAATCTGACAGATGAAAATGTCATTTATTATAGTTATCCCTTGCATTTCTCATCTTATGAGAGGAAGTGACCAACATGGACAAGTAGTATAAAGGAAAGTGTGAGTGTCTACAGTAGGGAAAGTTTCCCTACAATACGGCAGTAGAGCTGCAGTTTGCTGGGTGACTCAGAGTTAACCATATGAGGAGGTACCTCTAAATATGCAGACCATGTGTTGAAAGAGAGCATGTCTTTTCCAACAACAAAACACCACTGTGGCTCTTGCAGAAAGAATGAGAGGGACAGTGGTGCATGATGAGGCTGGAGAGGCAGGCCTCATTTTGTGGTGCGCTAGATCAAGGAGTTTGATTTGGCTCCCAACAGCAATGGGAAGCCATTGTAGTACGTTAAGTAAAAGAGCAACATGACCACAATTGCACTTTTTGCCTCTATTCTGACACAAGCTTATTTAATTCTTCTGAGCAGAATAAATTTATGAAATATAAATTGTGCTCATTTATAATATTCTTTCTCTTCTTCATATTCTGAAAAAGATTGCCAAGCTTTGTAATTGTTAAGGAAAGATGGGGGAGAAAAAAGCCATATCTACTTCCTGACTTAAGTAAAGCCTAAATCCCTTTCAAAGGTTGTGCTAAGTTCTCTAAAAGAAGGAAAGCGTGAAAGTGCCTTTGATAAGCAGTTCAGGGAAGGTAGAGTTCACAGAGCAGGGAACTTAGGAACAACAAAAGTCTCCTATATTTCTGGTTACACCGCAGCATATGGCAGAAGCAGGAAAGCTCCAGAGAGTAAGGATTGCCTCATGTCTCTAAACAGATGGACCCATAAAGATTTCCCATGTTTTAAAAGAAATCTGGAAGCAGCAGGGAGCCCAGGCCTGGAGCAACTGCGTGAGCAGAGTCAGTGAGCACACCCCAAAGTAACCAAAGTAGACAAATGACTCAACAACCAGAGGCCCTTGCCTTGGCCCTAAATCAAACCCCTGAACCTTAGCCCATCTTGAAGCAGAACAAGGAAACCCAAGAATAATTGAGGTTAAGTTTTCCACAACTGGGGACAGGGGGTAAAATTCTCAAAGTTGAAGCAAGGTCAAGTTATAAACATAAATTTATATGTAATTTCTTGCGTATTTGAGAGTGTGGTCCAAGACTTATTTCCACTACATCCCCACAGCTGTCGTCACACTACAGACTTATCTTGGTCTCTTCTTCTGTCAGTCCCATTCCATAAACTTAGCCTCAGCGTTGGATCATGCCATACAACCAATGGTACTTATGGACTGGGTTCATCCACTAAACAAATATTTATCAAATAGCTACTTGGTACCAGATGTTGTCCTAGACTTTTGGAATTGAAATGGTGAATATTCTGGAAGCAATCTTTACCCTTGCAGAACATGCATTCCAGTGGGAGAACAAACATAAACACATAGATCTGTGATATGAGTAGGTAGTAGGTTGGAGATATTAGGATACAAAGAAGGTCTTCAAGGAAATAGGAGATGGAGAGGTAAACAGGTAGAGGCACCTACTTTAAATAGGGAAAGACCTATATGGGCAGGTAAATTTCAGCTTCCAGGAACAGGAATGACTTGGTGTGTTGCTAGATCTGAAGAAGGCCATGTGAATGAAGTACGTGAATAATGTCGAGAGTAGTGAGAGATAAATGAAACTGAAAAAGACAGACAGAAACCAGAGCATAAAGAACTTTGAAGGTCATGGTTATAAGAGTTTGGGCTTATTCTAAGTGTGATAGGAAGTTGGAATACAGACATGTCTACTCCAAATCTGATAGACCTGGTCAACAGTAGTTTAAATTCTGGAATAAAATCCCTAAAGTAATTGAGCAAGTCTGTGGTCCCTATAAATCCCCAGTTACATAAACTTTGTGCTTAGTCTTGGAATAACGCCCTAAC